ATGTGGAGTTGTGAGGTACTGAACTATAAAAAGAAAAGTATTAATAAACTAAGTTGTATGAAATTAAAGTTTTCTTCTCATCAAAAGACATCATTAAGAAAATGAATAAGCAAGATACAAACTGGGACAAAATATTCAGTGTATACATGACAAAAATGTTTTAAGAATATATAATGAGTTCTTACAAATCAATAGTAAAAATGCAAGGAATACAAAAATGAGCAAAAGACTTGAATAACTTTTCATAAAAGATACACAAATGGTCATCTCTTTAAGCTACTAAAAAATGTCTAGTATCAATAGCCCCTGGAGAAATGAAAATGAAAATGATATTGAAATGCTACTTCACACCATAAGAGCAGCTAAAATAAAAAAGAAGGCTATGATCAATGTTGCAAGGATGTGATGCAACTGGAACCCTCATACATTGCTTGTACAAGAACTTTGAAGAAGATGAATATTGCATTCTCTTAGAAATATACGCACCTCTTGAGTAGCAATTCCATTACTAGGTAAGGAAATGAAAATGTTCATAAAATGCATTTCATAAGAAAATAATTAGGAATAACAACCTTATTTACAACAACTAAAACTGCAGGCAATTTAAGTGTCTATCAATAAGAGAACTGATAAACTGTGGTATATTCATTCAATAGATTATTACTCAGCAATAAATAGAAACAAGCTACTAAAATATGCAACTTTCTGCACCATTCCTAGATCTTCAGCTCCTTTCTTTGCTGTATGGGATGTAGGTGCTATGAAAAGAAGCTCATCTAGGCATGTGAAGAGCCACATGGAGAGGGTGGAAGAGACTCCTGACTCCTGATTGATCTGACCAAGTAATCAGAAATGTCAGTAAAGTCATTAGTCTTAGCTGCAGTCTGGCTGCTTTGACAAGACCGTAGCTAGCATTACATAGACGAGAAAAAAGCTGTCCAGTTGGGTCCTGCCTGAATTTTGGGACCACAGAATAATGAACAAATAAATGGCTGTTGCTTTATGCTACAAACTTTGTTATGACAGCAACAAAAAACCAAAAACACTTTGGAAAGACCATATGCAATTCAGAGTAGGAAATAAACCATATAAAAATTCAGGACCTTGCTACTTCACTGAATTTTCAAGGGTGAAATGGTCTGGGATATATTAGCTTATGTACTCAAAATGAAAGCTGTTTCATGGTGGTGGCTAGTGTTACCCAGCTGAGTAGTCTAAGAAGACACTAGTCCAGAAGACTCCGAGTCCTGTATCACCTGAACAGAGAACTGGACAGAGACACAAATTGCAAAACAGTAGCAAAACTTTATTGGAAGAAAAGGAAAGAAATAGTAAGGAAAAAGGAAAAAAGCACTGCCAGATAAGCAGCGGATCCCTGCCTGATAGCAAGGAGGCATTGATTAGCAAAACGTTGTTGGAAGAAAAGGAAAGAAAGAAGCGCTGCAAGGGAAGTGGTGGGCCCTTGCCAAATGGCATAGAAGCATTGATTTTTTTGTTTAAGCCAAACATAAGTTGTAAGGCAGGAAAAATCTGGGCAGTCCTCAGGGAGGGGTTGAGGTGTCTGGCAGGTTTAATTAACATAACCTTATCACATAACAAGGGTATTCTGCGTAGGCGCTTATGTTAATTTTTAGGCCTTTAATTGTAACGGAGGCTAGAAGAAGGGAAAGTTCAGGACTTCTATGTAGGTTGCCCAGGATGGCCCAGACCACCCTCATCTGGCCGGAAACGCCCAAGCCCCGCCCCACTCATTATTGGATGGGAATCACCTGGTTCCTCCCTTTCCATAGACTAGCACAAATTTTAAAATTACCTCAGAAAGAGAGCTTGCTTTCTCGGCCTCCAGACTCCACTTGCATCCACAATGCTCCCTCTTGTATTTTGTTTTCCTAACTTTAAACTCCCTCTACACCCACATGTCCTGTGATGGATTCTTCCCACTGGACCCAAAGAATTTGGAAGTCTTCTGATTACAGACTGCACGGAGCTGTTAACAATTTTATGTATGAGATGTGACCAATATTCCTGAGGTCTCAAGTAACAGGACTTAGCTTGGGACATCGAATTAGGGGCAGGCTTTTTTTTTTTTTAAACAAAAAGGCATCCCCAAAGGCGCCTTTTCCAGATGCTATCTTGCAATGACATTTATGACCACCAGGGTATTTACAATTTAAAGGGGATATATTGCTCTAGAGATGGTTCAGGGCTATGCTGGGGTGCCTGCTAGCTTTGCTTAAGAGAAGAGAACCCCTGGAAAGTTATTTTCCCTGCCTGCTAACCTGCATCAGTGTGATCACTCATATTGCTCATTCAGCTAAAAGTCCATGACTCACATGACTGGCATCTTAGGTGGTGACTGAAACAACTGGAACCTGGTGGGTTTTGCACTAAGACAGGGTAATTGGATTTCTTACATGGTAACTGTGTTCTAAGAGAAGAAAGCAGAACCTGCTACGCCTCTTGATGCCTAAGTCTGAAATTGGCCCACCATCACTTTTACCACACCATATTGGTCAATTACAAAGGAGGAGGAGGAGAAGTAGACTCCACTTTTGTGTACAGGTATGAAAGAATTGTTTAGAAGTCATCCTTGGAAACAGTTAATCACACCCCCAAACCATTAAAATTGCTTTTTAATTTTGCTAAAATATTGTGTGTTCACTAAGTATTTTTTAACTTATTTCATTGTTTTTCTTAAACATTTGTAACTGTGAGAAGGGAAATCACAGCTTCTGTCCAACAGGATAAACTGTGTCCCTTCCTCAACTGCACGACTAGTGAGTTCAGTGTTTGTGAAGTACTTGATGCTGTAAATGCTTTATGTCAGGAGTCTGCACACTAAATCCTGTCAAAACCTAGACTATTTTTAAAAAAGTTTCATTAAAACACATCCAAGTGCATGTTTCTGAATTTGCTATGATTTCTTTTGTGCAACAATATAGTTAAACAATATGACAGGGACTGTATGACTGACAAAACCTAAAACATTACTGTTTGGCTCTCTACAGACTAAATATGCAGGTCCCACATTTCTATTATGTGGAAAGTCTTGGATTTTTTTTCCCTAGGTGGTCAAGTGTGTTGAATATTTAGGGAAACTGAGGTTTTGTGATGGGCTGGAATGATCTTCCCATTTAAATAATAACGGAGTAAGAAATCATCCTATCAAAAAGTTTACTATTGAACCTGATTTTGGGACAGATTAAAATGAAGGATGCCACACTTTTTCCTGGACAATTCAGTTGAAATAGCAAACTTAAGACTCTTCCATACTCATTTATAAGCAGTTGTACTTTAGATTGTGTGAATGTTTGCTCTTGAGTGTCTTGTAAAGGTGGTTACATCTAACACCAATGCAGCTTAAATATTATAAATGGAGCCTGATTTCTGTTAACAGTAATTCCTCTAAGTATGACAAGTTCGCAAGGTTAGCTATATTCCTAGGTTAGCTGTGAAAAGGCCAGACTTGCTCACTTCTTCACCACAACTTCAGTGGCCCCTCTTCCCTTTTTTTCTGAGAGAACAGAGGCCCAGAGAAGTTAGTTGACTTGCCCAAAGTCACAATTTATTTCAATGGCGATCTCCAGCACTTTTTGGCATTTGCAAATATGGTGCAACCACGTGTACACTGTGAATTTTTAACTCTCTTGAGCTTTTTGCTGGCAATCAGTGGCTAGGGAAAAGCAAGACACTGCTGGAAGCATGGACAGGAATCAAAAATCAGGTGCAAGCATGCATGGGTAAACTGCTGTTGATACTTATTAACTAAATTTGTTGGCCTACTATTCCTATCAGGAACATAAAATGGAAACATTGAATTAACTTTTAATTTTAGTTTTTCCAAATACTGTCTGGCTTTGTTTGTTCAGTTTATAAATCACACCAGCTGGCTGTGGGGCCTGGAAAGCACTTCAGAAGACGCCACGAAGCTCCCTGATTTAGCGGGGAGAAGGAGACCTGAGGCTCAGGGAAGGATCGCAGATAAACAATACCACTCATTTAAAACCAAGCGTCTTTCCATCGCAGTTACCTAGGCTTTTACCAAATTCCCTTTCTAAAAATAAAAGCAGGGCAAATCCAGGGCATCAGAAAGTTCGGAATTGGCCTAATTTCCTTCTTAGTTGAGCTCAGTTCAGTTTCCCCGTAACTACACACAAACGGTCCCCTTTTCGTAAAACCAGACCTTGAAAAAAAAAATAATAAATAAATAAATCACCGGAGAAACCACTGAAGAGAAAAAGCGCCCGCCGCCCCGCCCCCTCCCTCCGGCCAATAGCAGCAGGCGCGGCCCTCGCTCTCCGGAGCCTGGGCCAATCAGCTGCGCCGGCTGCGGGCCGACGGATGGGGCGGGGCGGCGGTTGTCAGAGAAGCTGCTCGTCGGTTACTAGCTCGGCTTTTGAGCCACTGCGTCTTGGCGGGCAGTCCTTCACCTCCAGAAGTTCTAGGAATTCTCCGGCTTCCCGCCTGGCGTCCCTTGCCTCCCTTCCTATCTTTCTACCCTCTCTACTGCCCCCGCGTCCCCCTCCCTTTTAGCCGACCCAGGGCTGGAGAGCACAGGTACGCTGGCCAGGCTTCTCACTCCCACAGTGGAGCATCAGCCTTCCCCGACGTTCTGGCCCATTGTACGTCGCGACGGCGGCGGCGGGCTGACGTCACGGCGGACGTGCTGACGCCGCGGCGGAGGCCGAGGCGCGCCTTTTGGACCGGGGGTGGGCTCTGTGGGATGCATGGCTGCCCAGGGCGCTTGGGGGCGGGGTCCCGGAAGTGAAGGCCGTGACCCCTACGGCGCCCGGAGCTCTGCGGGTTTCCGCCCACGCAGCCCTCTTTCCTAGGGGAGGAGCGTGCGGTCCCCGGGATTTCAGGGTCTATGGCAGCGAGTGGTGGCCGGTCCAGGGGGCATTCCCGTTATGGCGGCGTTTCAGGAATGACCCTTTCTTAATCCTACGGCTGGTTCTTCAGCACCTGCCAAATTAAATACCAGATCGTGAGAAGCCCTGGAGCTCCTTCGTGAGGCATAGTCCACGTGGCCTCAGGAAGGAATTCCTTCTCTAGGATTCCTCCAGGTACCCTGTAGATTTTTGGGGTACACCGAGAGTCCTGTGACACAGCCATTAGCCCTTAGGCGTCTGCTCTCCTTAGATCTGTAGTCTGTGCCTTCGACTAGGTCCGTCTTAGTCGTCCCTCGTTTCCCGTAGAGAACAGTTTTCATCTTACGAATATAAATTGAATCTATGAGTGGTTTTAAAGCCTGAAGAAGGCCAGCGTGTGTATTACTTTGTGCTGTGTAGACTTTTTAAATATCCATTTGTAGTTCAGCATGGCGTGGGTTTTCGTTCAGAACAGTTCCACCATCCCATTGTAGTCTTGGGAAACCTTTGGAGCTATTCCAAGTCTTGGTTTCCTTACCTGTAGCTTTGGGATGCTAATGACAACTTGTTAAAGACTTTTGTGAGATGATTTTTTTTATAGGGTCAGTCACAGGTCGGTAAGTGTCAGCGATTGTGATCATGTTGAATGAAGAAAACATTTATATTTATTTCGAGTTTATTTGTAATTAGTATTCCAAACAGCTTTGGTCCTGTGTCCTGGCCTGGGTAGTTGGTCCCCTTCATCTCAAAAGCCTGGAACAAAAAACAGTTGTTCACCCTAAGTTTTATTTGAGAATATAACCCATGCTGCCCCCTGTGTTAGGTAGCTTTTGAGGTGAGAGGGTGATGGGTGTGCTATTTGCCTTCACGGAGTTAGCAAGTTTAAAAGAAAAGTAAAATATGGGCACTTATGGAGCAACTAAATACTATTAGTTGTTTAGGGTTCTTGATGGGCTGGAGGAAACGGCAGTAATATGATGGGGACCGGACACTCAGCTACCTGTTCCCCCTCATTCTTTATATACAAATGCCTTTTAGAGAGCGGAATAGCTGGTTATGCAAGTTAACCCCTCCATCAGAAAATATTTCCCAATTTAATAGCTTTTATTCCTGAGCTATTTTCCAGCTCTGGTCAATTTTACTCTGCCTAGTTCCATGTTTCCTGTAGTAAACTTTTGACTTGTTTCCAGAATAATGCGACAAAAAAAGTTTTCCAACATCTACTTGATGTTCCTTTCATGGTGATTTGATTTTTTTTTTAATTGAAGCTGTGCGCTTTTGTTTGAAGTCAATGAAAGTTGTTTTTCAAGAATTGGTGTTTGGCAAAGCAGTTAAAAATCTACAGGATTCATACACTTTTTCTCTCCAGAGAGATTAGTTTTAAATATGTTTGATGCTGGTTTGTTTACTTAGGCTGACCTAGGTGCTAAAGAGGGCAGTGGGTTATGATCTTTCTTTTCTCTTACCATGCAATATCACTGTACCAGAATAACCATCCCTCACACACTTGGCCAAAATGGAACAAACATAGCCGAGTAAATGTAGGTGCATCAGCATACCCCATGAATACTTCCAGAAAAAGCTGTAAGTAGGTGCCTTTTTTTGATAGGAGACTAGTAAAGTTCCCGGTGCATAGGACATTTAATTCTTAACATTTAAAAAGTTTTTTTTAAATCACTGATCTTTTAAGGATTTGATTATTAAACATATGTGCAGAACATTTATCTTTGTTTCGTCTGTAACAAGTTGTATAAAAACGTAACTTGTCAATTGGCAGTATATGCCACATAACTGAAAACATTTTGTTGCAAAACATCTGCTTTTCCATACAAATATACACTCCTCAACTAAAATAATAGCATGGTTTATAGAGGTGGGCCTTTTTTATTTTGTTTATTTTATTTTGTTTTGTTGAGACAAGATTTTGTTATGCAGCACAGGCTGGCCTATAACTTGTCGTCTTTCTGCCTTAGCCTCCTGCAGTATTGTGATTATAGGCATGTGTCATGTCCAGGAATTTTTGTGCTGAATATATTTGTTCACCATACTTATATTCTTGGTTGTAGTATTGTTACAACACAAAAATGGTGAAGTGCCTTTGAACACCTGAATAATCTATCCTGGAGAATATGATTATCAGTAATTTCAGTGGAAATATCTAAGACACAGTTCTGTGCATTGTGTTTTGAGGAATCAGTAATGAAAATGACATTTTCGAATGTTGGTCTAGAAGTCATTCTTAGATCCTTATTTTTCACAATGTATTTGTTTACCCGTTATAATTTTATCTTGTGATAAAAACTTTTACAATAGTTGTACATATTGCTGCCAATAGCCCACAAAGCCAATTAAGAACCTATTAAAAACTGATACCAAATCAAATGTCATCTCATAAAATGCTTTCTACAAATTGAAGATCCCTATCCTTTTACATTGTTTTTAAAGCTTTTATTCTAAAACTAGGGATCATTTTTAAAATAATCCCCAAAAAGAAGAAGCAAGGAATGAATATGTAAAAAACAGCACATCATTTTTATTAAAGGCTCTATGCCTTATGTCTTCTGCTTCAATTATTGCTTAGTTTTATAAACCTTGTAGGTGCTTAGAATTAATATATTAGACATTCTTTCTTGAGATTCCAGTCTACAGAGAGAGAATATTTAAACAAGTGAATGGATGTAAGATAAATACTAGTTCCTCTCTAAGGATCTATAGCTATAACTGGATTTGCTGTGATTTACCCAGAGCACATTCCTCTTTAATCTTAAGTGTGATTTTTCATTTGGTTTTGTATATATCTATATTTTAAATTCTTCTATACTATAAATAACTCAAAGGATCATAATGCCTTAATAATAGATGTTGCTTATTTTCAGCACCCAAGAGGATCATCTTAGGCTATCTATATTTTATTCAGTAAGTTCCTTTTGGATTGCAGCTGCTGGCATTTTTGTTTTTGTCTTTTTCTTTTATTGTTACTATGTTATTGTACTGGTCAAACATTGTGACATTTACAAAAGTGCTTACAATATATTTTACTTAAATTTACCCTTTCTATCATTCTTCCTTATCCTCCCCATTTTTAGAACAGTTTTAGTAGGTCTCATTTTTCCATTGTCATACATGAGTACATAATTTTTCTACCACATTTATCCTTCCTTATATCCTCCCCGCTCCCACTGGTACCTGCCCTTACATAGGACCTATTTTATCTTTCTGTTCTCTGTTTCTGAAAAAAAGACATTTTTGTTTGTTTAAGATAGTGGTACAGGGAGTTTCATTATGACATCTTCATGTAAGCTGCTGGCATTTCAGAAATATGAGCATATTGGCTTGTCTCTGCTGTACATGGAACTTTCAGACAGAAGTTAATACATTTTTATAGACATGGGAAGTTTCTGAATTGCTAATTAAATGCGAATAAGTTTTAACCTATAATTTCATATCTACTGAAAGTATTGAAAATCTTTAACATAATCTTTTTTTTTTTTTTGATGAAACTGGGGTTTGAACTCGACTTTGCACTTGGAATGCAGATGCTCTACCACTTGAGCCATTCCTCTAGTCTGTTTTTCTCTGTTATTTTGGAGATGGGTCTCATGAAGTATTTGCCCAGACTGACCTCAAACCTCAATCCTTCTGAGTATTTTAGGATTACAAGTATGAGCTACTGGTGCCCAGCTTGAACACAATGTATTTTTAATACAGAAATATAAAACTCAACCATAAATTATTAAAATAATGCAGAAAATCTTAAATACTATCTTCATGTTGTATAAACATGAAGTCAGGGAGACACCTTATATGTGTCTTATATGTTACTATTATGTGTTCATAGTTGGCAAAGCTCTAATTCATTACTTAAAATGGAACAGTTTTGAAGAAATTCATAGATGTTCAGATTTAAAAAGATGACATCTCCAGGTTTGAATGAAAACAGATTTTTTGGTAAAGTTTGGAAATACTGTCATCTGCCTATTCTTTTATCACCAAAGAATATTCTAGATTGAGCTGGGAACAGGAATAAAAAGAATTAATTTTGAAAGGTCTAGCAAAAGAATGTCCTGCCTTCTTTGTAGCTATCATTGCCAAATACTTTTAAGAGTATGTTGACTTTCTCCAGTTCTAGGCATAAATACCATGTTTTTTATTGGACAGGCCTGATAGAACTGAGTACCATTGTTAATCCACAGTTGTGTGTCTGTTTTCTAGTTGTATTGGGTGAAAATATTATTGTACTCCTTTAAACAGTAGGCTAGTAAGGATTTCCACACCCTAATAATTGTATAGAGAAAAACAGTCCTTTTAGAAACAGTATATGGAAATTGGCAATTGAGGAGTGAGTGTGCTATGCAACTTTGATACTATTTTGAGTTAGTATAATAATGAGTAGCATTATAATTTTGATTGTGTCTTTAAGACGTTCTCTTAAACATCATTAGGATCAGAGAGTAATAACAGAAAGAAAAGAATCTCTACTGAAATGATAAGTTTAATAACTAAAATGTTTCCTAGCTTTCAGCATCTGTGGAGAAGTTGTTTTGAAGCCAAATATAAATCCATTTACTAAATTTATGGAGAAACCTACCAATGATGGAAGTCATTCAGAGGAACTCTTTTCCCATCGTAAAAGTACTCCAATGAAAGAACGTTTACCGTGGTATGCTAGTGACAGTCAGTTCAGAAGGTATTCTCATCATTATGTGACAAAATCTAATTTTCTGATTTTTGGGTGTCATGTTTGTCCAAAATATATATTATCTGAATTAAATGCAGTATTCTTTCAATAATATCTTTTTCAAATTCAGTATTCATTAAAATTAGTTTATTCTGATAACAAGTGTACTCATTTAGCAGAATCTTAGGTTTTTGGATCTTTTTTTGGGGGGGGGGTTGTGAGATAGTCTCTTTATTATGTAGCCCAGGCTGGCCTCCAGCTTAAGATCCTCTTTCTTGCCTCTGCCTCTGAGTGCTACAGTTACATCCATAAGCCACCATGCTAGCTTAGGGTTTTAGATCCTAATGAAAGCAATTAAGAATGGAAACCAAACCTATTTAAGAATTTGTAAAGTAAATCTTTTTAACTAAGGTAAATGAGCATATAAATAATATGGAATACTGGAAATGTAATTAATGAGTACCAATACACTGTCCTGTGGTACATTGCTGTATAACTAATACTTCGTATATTTTACTTATTTAGAATGGTAGATACCCTTGTTACTTATATGAATCATCAACCCCCAAATAACAATCTTAAAATACCATTATTGTCATGATTGTACAGTCCACCTTCTAGTTTAACTTGTTATATATGAAAATGATGTTTTGTCATGTAATAATTCCTGACTTTCTGCCCATTATTTTTAATGAAAGACAGTTAACATTTATCTATCATAATTTTCTTATACCCTTAATTTTAAGCTAGTGGTGCTTAAGAACAAAATATACTTCTTGTCATAGCCTGTAAGATGCCATCAGTTGTTAGTTGTCATATAATGTAATCTGTAAAGAAAGAAAACAGCTGGCAACTAAAGAAGAAACGATCCTTTCCTATGATTTGGAATTTTATTTATACCTATTGAGAAAGCTCCTTTAAATTGAGATATGTATAGATTTTTACCCAAATAACCTGTGATTACATAAGAGTAAAATGTAAGTGAAATAAATTATTCTCAAAACTTCTATGTACTCAGAGGCCAATCCTTTCGAGCCACTTTTTGACTCAAAGTTCTCCTTTCTATTAAGAGTGTTGGGGAGAGGGCATTTCTTATGAGCATTTTTAGATGAAATCCTTGTCACCTGGAGGCAGGCTTGACTTTTTTCTTTTTATCAGTATCTGCCCAAAACTCATAGAATGACTGTGGAATGTTGCTAAATGTTCCTGCTTCACGGATCCCCTGGACTTCTCTCTATGACTCTAGAGTTAAAACTCTTAAGGACTCCTAGGAGTTAAAAAAGTGTTGCACTCTATCTCTGGGCTATTCTTCAAAGTTTTTGCCACCCCGTTCTATAAATTTTGGGTGTGTGCAGATAAAGACAGGTCATCAGCTTTGTGGCTGATGAGAACTATGAGAAGCAACAGGAGTGATCAAAAAAATGGGGAAAAAAAGTATCTTATAATACCCAGTAATGTCTAGGTAAGCATAATCAAGAAAGCAGACATTGTCAGTTTTGTTTTGCTTGATAAAACGTGTTCAAAAGCTGAACAAGAAGGGTTTTTAGATACATGGAAGGCTTTAGCTTTTGTGTTCCATTTGTTTAACTTATTCATGCTTTTGAAGGAAGTTTTTGTGAAAGATGATAGTTTCATGGAAAGGTTTTGTAATAAGTCTAGAAAGATTAATTTTTGAATTTAGAGTAAGAGAATGGAAGGATACAATAAAAACATGTATACATTCATAAAATTTGTTTTTCAAATTTATATATGTTTATAAATTATCAAACACAGCAAAGTTAAATATTACTGTTAGCAGTTTTTGTGTTTTACATATCTCAACATTTTAAAATTATCTTTCCATGTATAGGAAAGTATTAGCAAAAGTATGAATATATAGGAAAATGCATACATTTTAGTGACAGCTTATTATATTTGTAGAGCAATTTATTGGACTCAGTAATATTAAGTCAGTCTGTACTATATTTATATAAAAGTACAATCAGCTTATGTGATAGATTTAACTTAAATTTTACCTTTGCATTTGTGATTAGTCTGAAGCAGGACATCCTAAGTGAAAAGACCCAATTGGAAGCGACACTTAAGGAAGCTGAGTTGGCAACCTGTTCTGTAGAATTACTTTTACCTTTGTTTAAGAATACTATGAAGAGATTAGTTTAGGAAATGTGAGTATTTGACTTATGAATATCTAATAAAATGTAAAGCTGATATAATACTCAGAATTCACTAACTGAAATCCCATATCTTAAATAGGTATCCTCATGTGTGGGTATTTAATACCAAAAATGGGAATTTATGTATGTTTTTTATTCCTGTTTCACTAGCTGCAATTCTTTCTCTTAAAGAAAATCTCAGGCATGCACCTCATAAGAGGCTAAGCTTAAAACTGTATATTTTGATGCTTGACTTAACCTGGCCTTGAACTAGAGAGTTATCTTTTTTCTCATGAGTTTAAAATCTTCTGAGAGCTGAAATATGTCTATTTTCAATAATGTTATTTGGAGTGGAAAACTACTTTAAAATCCCAGCATATTAAAATTTGAGTTAGGATCAAAAGTAGATTGAATTCTATAACTTCTATTGGAATAAATACTGAAATACTTTTAGAACTTAAGTTCTTATTTTTACTTTAATTTAGTGTACTATGTAACAGATTCTACTTACTGTTAATAAATGTGATGAATTCTTTTGGTGTATGCAAAAGAATGATTTTGTTACTAGAAAAATTATTCTTTGATAGAATTATATTTTAGAGTGTTTTAGTTAATACTGTGTCTTAAATTATATAATCTGGTTACTGTGTTCTTTTCAGGCTAATCTTTCTGCATCTAATTTGAAGATTTCTGAACAGAAGGAAATATTAACAAAAGAATTAGATACTTTAAAACGTGTAAAACTAACCTTAGATCATCTTCTTAGACAGACTGACTACAAACAAGTAAGGCATCAACCATATGCACTCATTTAATACTAATGTTTTTTACTTGAAGGATATATTATTTGTCTATCTGTAAAAATTTAAATATTGGTGTGTTTGAACTGGAAATGAAATTATTAAGTTCGTAAAGGTGATTATCAGACTCCTACTTTTAATGTTTCATAAGTAGTTCTACATAAACCCAGCAAGTTTTTATATAAAATATATTTTTATTTCCTATCCAAAATGCTTTATTTGTTTTAATCATTTAGCTGGTTTGATAAAATACACATTTTTAGAATTTAAGCACTTATGTATTTTATTTTTATTCATACATAGGTCTTTTTAAATAAAAAAATTAACAGATACGTAAAACAAACATTTTACATATTGATGGGATACATGTAATGCTTTGGTACATGTAAATATTGCATAATGTTTAAACTTATCTGTCTCCTTATACATTTATCATTTCCTTATGGTGAAAACTTTCAAAATCCTTTCTTCTGGCTTTTTGAAATGTACCTTATTATTACTTGCAGTCACCTTGCTGATCAATAGCACCCCCGAATTTCTTGCCCCTATCTAACTAAAACTTAGTACCCATTGATGAACCTCTCCACTTCCCTTCCTGTTCACTACTCTCCCCAGTTTCTGGTAACCACCAATCTACTCTCAACTTCTAGCAAATCAACTTTTATCCTTCATATATGAGTGCGTGAGATCATGTGGTACTAGTCTTTCTGTACCTGGCTTATGCATAACATAATCTCCACTGCCATCTATACTGTGTGGATGACAGGCTTTCAACCTTTTTTTTGGCTGAACAGTACTCCATAGTATATATGTACCCATTTTCTCTATCTGTTCATCAGTTGATGGACTCTTAGGTTGTTTGTATTTCTTTCCATTGACCATGAAGTGCAGATACCTGTCTGACATATTGATTTCATTTCCTTTGGATATATACCTATGGATAGGAGTTTTGGATCACATGGTAGTCCTGTTTCTAAATTTTTAAGGAACCTCTAAATTTTCCATAGTGGCTCTACTAATTTACATTCTCACCAGCAGTATACAAGGGTTCCCTTTGCTCTGTATCCTTGCTAGCACCTTGTTATCTTTTGGCTTTTAGTGATAATAGTCATTTTTACTAAGGTGAGGTGATAATCATTGTGGTTTTGATTTGCATTTCCCTGGTGATTAGTGATGATGAGCTTTTTCTCATGTACCTGTTGGTTATTTGTATGTCTTCTTTTGACATGTGTTTGTTTAGATCTATTACTCCTCCAAATTTTTTTTCTGTGAAGTATTTGGAGTTCCTTATGTATTCTGGATATCAACTTCTTGTCAGAAGTATAAATTTATAAATATTTTCTCCATTCTATAGGCTGCCTTTTGCACTGCTGATTATTTGTTTTGCTTGAGGGAGCTTTTTAGATTGATATAATTCCATTTGTCTATTTTTGCTTTTGTTTCCTGTGCTTTGGGATCTTGACCAGAAAATCCTTGCCTAGGCCAATGTCCTGAAGTGTTTCTCCTGTTTACTTGTCTGCATGTCTTTTTCTCTCTCACTCTTCTTTGTCCCTCTCTTTCCTTCGTCCCTCCTTCCCTCCCTTCCTTTCTCCCTTTTTTCCTTCCTCCATTCTCTCTCTCTCTGTCTTTTTTAGTAAAAGCTTCTTTTGTTGTTGTTGTTTTGTTTTTTTTTGGGACAGGATCTCACATTGTTGCCAGTGCTGGCCTCAAACTTGTGATCCTCCTGATTTTACCTCCCAAGTGCTGGTATTACAGGTGTGTATCACCATACCTGGCTTCAATAAGGTTTATTGAAATGTAATTCACATGGCATACAGTTCTATCATTTAAAATATGAGATCTGTTGGATTTTAGTATATCACAGAGTTTTGCAGCCATCATGATAATCAAATTTAGAGGATTTTTGTGATTCTAAAGTGAAAGCTTGTATACCTCCTATCCCACTCGCGTCTCCTTAAAGGAGCCCTTCTATCCACCTTCTGTCTCTATGAATTTGTCTGTTCTGGCTACTTCATGTAAATGGAATCATATGATATATGGTTGTTTGTGACTATCTTCTTTCAGTTAGCATGTTTTCAAGTCTCATCCTCTTTATTGCTCTTTGAATAATATTTTATTGAATATCTGTACATACACTTATTTATCCAGTTGCCAGTTAATGGTTACTTTGGTGTTGTTATGAATAATGCTGCGATGAACATTTCTTTACAAAGTTGTAGTAGGGATATTTGTGTCCATTTCTCTTGGATATATAGCTAGGAGTGGAACTGCTTGGCATACGTATTCTTCACACACACACACACACACACACACACTTTCCCTTTGGTCTAAGATAGGGTTTCCTTTTCATCTGGGATCTGCTTCTCCACTTTTTTCCCCCTGCCCCAACACTGTTCCTATGCATAGTACAATTTCAGCCCATCTTGTAAAACATTATAGTTGAGAGGATGTCACCTCATCATTGGGAAAAGCTGATCTATAGCTTCTGCTCAAACATATGACAAAATGTAAAGCCTAACTTTGGAAACAATGGTCAAGTATGGTATTCTCAGTTAAAAATATTTAAAAGAATAACTTCATAGTATTTATCTTCTCTATGACTATTTTTTATTTGTAGAATAACAAAATTATACAAGTTCAAGATTCATAACATTATAATCTGAGATCTTTGAAACCCCTGAAACTATGAAAAATATTGTGTGTATTAATTGGAGATAAGAGCTCCACAACAATAATTTTTATTTCTTTGTGATTATTACTTCTTTTGAATCTTAGTGCAAATATACTTGAAGAAATTAACCTCTGTTGATAGTCTGAAATCTTGAGCTAATAACAAAGTCACTTAAATTACTCTTCACTCCTTTCCCTCTTAAATTAACTTTTGTACTTAACAATATAGCATCAATATTTTTTATTTTATTTTTTTCCCCAAGGCTGGGAAAAAAAATCCAGGGCCTGGTGCTATGGGCAAGCACTCTGTCATTGAGCAATACCCCCAGCTCTTTATTTATTAACTATTTCTTGAAAAGAAAGGGATTTTAACTTGAGCTCTGTAGATTCTTACAGAGTCCAAGGATAGACTTCATGAAATCCATGAACCCTCTGAACTTGTGTGTACAATTTTGTATTATATGTACACACATACGTACTTTCATAGGAAAAGAATGCATAGCCTTTTCACATTCTTAAAGGGAAGGCTGACCTTCAAAAATGAATAAACATTCTTTGAGTTCTCGTTTAAAAAGATTACATAGAATCTATTGTCTTTCTTTAAGAAATTTCTTAATGCTAGAATTCAGTGTTATAATTTTTGCCTACTTATAAAGTGTTGTGTTGAGCTTTCACAAACAGGGTTTTTTAAAACTGATTTTTATATGTCATTGGCCTACACTTTCTGAGGCATTCTGTTGAGATTAATATAGCAAATTAACTAATTTCATAAATGCACAAAAATGATTTAGAATACATAGACAGAAGTCTTTCTGATGGCTCTTTTATTTATTTATTGCATTTATTTTGTGGTACTGAGGTTTGAACTCAGGGCCTGTACCTTGAGTTTTTTTCAAGATAGGGTCTTGTGATCGTTTTGCCCTGGTTGGCTTCAAACCGCTATCCTCCTGATCTCTGCCACCTAAGTAGCTAGGATTACAGGCATGAGTTACTGGCACCCAGCCTGATGTCTCTTTTTAGAAATCTGCACTGTGCGTAGTAGTTGCTTCATGTAATTTTTTTGAGTGATGCTTATTCTACTTTCTGTTTTGTGTAGAGAAATACAGTTTGTGAGCATTGATTTATAACATCCTTTCTTCATAGACTGGAGACAATCTACCCAGCATGTTGTTAAAGAATGTAACTGATAATGAAAGTGAAAATATTGTAAGTTTTTTTTCCCTTTTTATCCATTTTTTGCCCATTTGTATGCTGCTTGGTCTTATAAAATTAGCCATTATTATCTAAGTTGTGAAATTTCTAACTTTTATGTATGTTTGCTAAAGAATCTTAAGAAGAAGATTATTGAAAAGGAGACATATATCCAAGAACTTTCATGTTTGTTTCAGAATGAAAAGGTAAGCAAATTTTGAGTTTAATTTGTCATATTTCTTAATACTGAGTCCTTCCCTTCTTCCCATTCTGGTTTCATGTCCTCAAAAATAAACACAAAAAAGGTATTTTTGACAACCTACATTATTTGAATATTTTGTTTGATGTATCAGATGTATCATCTTAATTTTTTAAAGGATTTTATGGTGTTTCAGGGCAGTTGGCATGAATCACTGTTAGGAACTCATAAATTTGTACTGTATTTCAATTTGGGTGCAAATTAAGAACTTTGGTATTTATAGGAGCATTTTAGACAAATGTATAATTGTAGTTAGAAGGATAGGTAGGAATTTTTTTAGGTAGTTATCAGGAGGCATTAAATAAAATGTGGATAATAGCGAAAACTCCTCCCTAGTTTTATAGGAAATGCATTTGAAGTGGGCAGCAGTAGTTTATGTAAAAGTAGCACTTTGCTTTTTAACAGTTTTTAGATTGTGTCTGAATTGGGGTAAAATTAAAGGGATGAGGAGGATATAGCAAATAACATTTTTGTTGTTCTTTTTTCTGTGTTATAGGCAAATGCTTTGAAAGCAAACCGTTTTTCTCAATCAATAAAAGTAGTACATGAACGACTACAGCTCCAAATTCATAAAAGGGAAGCAGAGAATGATAAATTGAAAGAATACATAAAGGTTATAAATATTTATTCATTTTTATAGTCTACGTGATAAAATTAATGAAAAGTATAATGTCATTCCTTAATTGTGGAATATGGTGATTGCAAAAGAATTTATTGTTGCCATGGGAAATATGTATATGTTAATAGTAAGATTTCTGACCCTTCTAAAAATTTAGATCAAAATTCCAATATAAAAATGCTATGTCTTTTTTTATACCAGTCTAGGCTGGATTCGTAGATATTGATTTACTTTAAAAAACTTTCTTATGATACAGTTAATATATGTTTATTGTGGATAATTTATAAGATACTGAAAACATAACAGCAAAAATAAAAATAGCATGTAAATACTGAAACCATTGTCAACATTCTGCTATATCTTATTCCAGTTGTTTTTCTACACTTACACATACATATTTTCACACATTTAATAAGCAGTGAGTAAATTGTTTTGTTACAGATTAGTGATTTTAAAATAATTTTAAACTAAATTAAAGTCAATTAACCTAACTTTGATATTCAGATGATTGAGTAATTCCCTTTGTAACAGTACAATTAAGAGATATTTTTGGCTTTATTATTCTTTTTGAGTCAGATTCACTGTAAGATTTTGAGGTTGCTGTATCACAACCTAACTAGACTCACTGTCTCTTTTTGCCAAAGTAAAAGAAGCAATGTATCAACTCTCAGAGAAGTATACAGACTCAAACCCCACTGAACGTGAGGGCTTCTAGTTAGACTTCTGTTTGCTTTTACATCCTGTATCACAGAAGATGTCTGCAGCCTATAGCACATTTTCAAAGCTGTGCTCAGGTTTTTATTTATTTTTCTTCCTTCAATGACAAAAACCTTTTGCCCTCCAAGAGACCATTAAGCAGGTTTGTGGAGGATGCATATTTTGTTCTACCTACATGTTCTTTCAAACTTCTCCCCCATAGATTCCCTGGGTCCTTTGCATGGGTGTGCTGGGACACTGTAGATAGAACGGGTTTGGTATTGCAATGCTCTGTTATGGTAAATGCAAGCAAATAGCTGTGATCCAACCTATCAGATAATCTTACATAATTTTTAATAAAGTCCTCAAATAGCAGTTGAGAAAGGGTTTTGAAAATATTTTATTCAGTTTAAACTGAATGATTTAATAATTTTTTTTATATCCTCAGTCACTTGGAGAAAGAACATAAAGCTAAAACCCAAAGATTTTGCCATGATAGTCTCCTGTTCAAATTCCTTTTCAAAAATGCTGTTGTTAAGAAATAATTGAAAGAAGTTGCTGTAGGTTACTGATTTTTCTATTTTCCTCTTATTATGTGTTTTTGGACTTTAAAGCATTAAGGAATTGGTGGTGGGGGGGATCACAATGTTCTGAATTGATTTTAGGTTTAACAAGTTTTGTTTCATTTTTTAACAGTAAAAACACAGGGCCTGGTGCAGTGCAATCCCAACTATGTGAGAGATGGGAGGATCACAGTTGGACGGAGGCTGGCCCCTGGCAAAAGTGCTAGTTCCTATCTGAAAAATAAACTAAAGCAAAAAGGACTGGGGTGTGGCTCAAGTGATAGAGCATTTAGTGCAAAGCTCTGAATTCAAACTCCAGTGTAGTACTGCCAAAATGAAAAGTACATTGTAATTCTCTGAAAACTACCCAAAGATACTTTGAACCAGTTTTTCTTTCTAAGTCTTTGTAATGTAGCAATTAGAATATTTTTTATATTTTTAGAATTATATAAATGTAATTTTTTACATAGTTGGCAACATATATGTGTAATTGTTAGAAAAGACAAATAATCAACTTTATGTGTTCATTCATCTGGCAAATGACTAAGTGGTTATTTATTTTGAAACTAAAATATTTTGATTGTTTCAGCATATTCCCTGATAATGCTTACATGTAGGATTTTATAACTAGTGAGAAAACCCAGTTGCAACCTTATTAATATTTTTCCTTCACCTTTCACATATAAAGTTTTTAACTTTAGTGTAGCAACTATTTATGGTGTGACGATGACACCCTGTGGCTTTTAGAGGGATGACAGCTGTATTTCCTATGGGGTGTTCCTTGCTCTTAATGTACATTGAACATGGTTTTTTTCCCCAAACTATTAGTTACAATATTTCATGGGATTTTTAGTATAAAATGTGTTCTTAAGGATAGTTTAAGAAGGTGTTGCTGCTCCTCTTAGTTTACCAAATCACTCTTGAAAGAGATCAGATCTAACAATGCACTTCTTAATCCCAGAATTTCAGTGGAGGTTAAGACGTGCAGGCTTGTTGGCATGGGTTCAGTAGAAGCGTCACGTGTCACTCTAGCCCATTTGAAACTTTTAATTAAGATGGCTGTCCAAGGAATGGTAGATGAAAGCCCAAATTCTACAATGATTCCAGATCTTTCCACTGTTGCATAGCTTTCAAAATGCAAAAGCATTAAAATGTTATTTACATTCTTAGATACTTAAATAGCTTAAGTCCAAAGTCTTAAAATAATTTTATGTTTTTATTTCATCTACCTACGCTAATATTCTGTCTCTTATTACACTGTCAAGGGGAAGGTCTTGTTAGTTAACACCATCATACTCAATGGGTAGGAAGCCTGTCCTCAGGCATCTTTTTATTTTTTCATATTGATCTGATAGTCATTAGTTATTTATGTGTTTGGTCTTGCAATCAACCATTACTTTCATACATTTACCAATAATTGGGTAAAGCAGTACTCTTACTGTCTTTAGTGTAACTCTATTGTCAGGGCATGCCTCCTAATTCTAGTAAATTAAAATTTAGTAAATAAGTTGATATTTATCTCATCTTTCCCCTTTGTAATCTATAGAATTTGATCATATCTCTTTTAAGCTTTAATTTTTCAAGCTAAAACATTAATATATTTGGGGAGCTACCAATACCTTTTGAGCTTTTCCATACCGATTATTTGGGTCAACTCCAGGTCATTTATGTTCTTTAGTTTTTTAAATGAGTACTATGTGTCATATTTTAGACATGAAGTATAAAAATGTCCTAGTTTATGTTAGAAATTTTAAAGAAGTTAATATTTATACTATAATTACCAATATTAGTTTAATAATGTTAGAATTAGTTTTGTGTAAGTTTAAATATTTAAAATTTTCATTCTTTACCTAGTTATAAGGAACCATTGGTGAAATCACTTTTTAATCCCTATTTTGCTTTTTATTAATCTTATGATTATTTTTGATAAAATATGTATTAATGTTTTTATAATTTTTATCTTAAACACTGGAGTTCTGAAATAATTTATTTTTTTTTTAGAGTTTAGAAAACAAAATAGCCAAATGGAACTTACAGTTGAGAACAAATAAGCATGAGACTGTAGCAGTGAAAGAAGCGAGTAGACAAACAGCTATTGCTCTAAAGAAGGCATCTAAAATTTACCAACAAAGGCTTGAGCATTTTACAGGAGATATTGAACACCTTACTTCCCAAATTAGAGATCAGGTAAGTATTACATTCTTTCCTAACGATGTATTTTATGAGCCTAGTTTATGTAGTTAATGCCATGATATGTAATATAATGATTTTATTTTTATCAATATGGCTATTAAAGATCATAAATACTTTACTCATATTTTTTGCTTTCACTTTTTATTTTGAAAGACCACATAAAATGCATTAAGCATACCCCTCCACACACAAAAAGCTTCTATGGCTAACTTACTAAGAGAGAGGCTTCATGTCCTTTGCCCTTTGGAAAGTTGCAGTGCACATTAGTATATTAAAGGCACTGAGAAGGCTTTCAGAAACCCAGTGCAATGAGGGTATTGAATTAAGGGTTTCCCACACTTACTTAACCACAGAACTCTTCTTTTACCCACAAAGCAGCTTTTGGAAGTGGTTCTGAGAAATATCAGTTTGGGAAATGCTGATTTATGTTATTAGACCATATGACTTTATTCAGTAATTCACTTCATTTAATCTCTGTAATGCATTTAAAACCATATGCTGACGTAAACACACCATGTGAAAGATATCTTGGGGTATAGTACAAAGTTGAAAAATGGACTTAGTGCTTTGTTAGTTTTGACAAATTATTATATTTATTCAGTTGCCAACTAATAAAATATTTATTGTTTTTAATGTCTCACTAGTATTCCACCTCTGAAGAACTTATGTTAATGCTTATAGAATTATTAGAGGCTTTTAGAAATGAAAACAGACTGTATAAACAGTTGTGCAAACAAAACAATTTAATATTTTGTAAGCTCAAGTATTAACATTTTAAGGCTTTACTATTTAACCTACATTCATAAGATTTAACTAGATAAAAGAATTAAAGACTAGGTTCAAAATCTACATTCGGTGCTTAAAAATGTTCTTCAGTGGTAAAAGTTGATTGTGTCATTAACATTCTTGAGGTTTTCTTAGTGAAATAGCACTGCCCTTGCTCCTTGTCAGTGCATAAAAGCTCCTCCACTTATTAACTTGTGATTTTCCATAAGGAACTTAACCTTGCTTAAGCTTCAGCTTCCTTATCTATAAAACAGAGGATAATGCACTGCTTATCTTATGTGATCAATAGGGAGGATACATGAGAAAATACATGTCAAACCATAGTGTGTGCTTATTCTACGTTTTTGACATACTGTCCTCTTTTTAGTTCCTCTGATGCAGGGAGTTTGTTTAGTTATTTTGTTTGTTTTCTGATGCTTCTGGCCTTAATGATCTGATCTTCCCAGCTCAACATAACTGGCTGTTTGTTATTAATCATTCAGTTTCTGTTCAAATGCCATCTGTTCAGAGAGGCCTTCCCTGCTACTCCTTAAGAAGTAGCCTGAAAACAATCCTTGTCTTGATTTTTTTCATAATATTTATTATAATTTGAAGCTATTGCTCCTTTTTTTTGTTTACTGTTTTTCTCTACTAGAGTGTTAATCGAAGTTAGCAGGAGCTTGTTTGTCCCATTTTCCTGAGAATACCATTGTTTATAATGCATTTTAAGTTCAAAACACAAAAAGTTCAGCAATAAGACATTTTATTGAACTGTTACGTAGTTCATCACACATACACACAATGCCTAAAATTTCCCAAGAATTACAGAGGGATCAAAGAGAACAAGGATTTGAAAGGGTCCATTTTCTGGTAATTAAGCAATTTTAATGCCATGAAGGAAGGGTAAAAAGGACTTTTGCTTTGTGTTTGTGTGTTTGTAAGGACAGGTAAAAGAAGATTTTGAAAGTACTGAGGAGAACCAGTTTTGATATTTATTGTCCAGGGATCAGGATCTTAAATGCTGTGTAATTGTACATACTGAAGAATTATCCTATTTCCTTCTTTAAAAATTGGATCCTAATTTTGCTGTTAGTAGGTTAGATGTGTCATTTCTGTAAGGCAAAGAGAAAAGGTGTGGCATCTCAGTCTTCTGTAGGAAGGTGACTTCTTCCTTAACTCATGTCTATATTCTAGGAATGTCATAAAAATTAAATACTGTCCTCCATGTGAATTATAGGTAGCAATTACGTATTTAAACTATAAATTTCTTTTTATAGGTAAGGTTCCTAGTTATCTTAATTTACATTATAATATAATCTGAAACTTTATAATGTATGTTATACCTGACTCATACTTCATAATTTATACTAAAATTTATTTTACATAAAATATGAAAATAGGTTAATAGTTTTTTTCCAAAATGACAGAGGCATATGATGAACAAAGTAAATAATATCTTACACACAGTAGATGCTCAATAAATTCTTGTTCAGTGAATGGATGAATGATGGAATGATAGAAGGATGTTAAATGCTCTTATATTCTTTCTGTGTCTTCTGATTTTAATTAACTGATACTGTTTCATTCCAGTGATGTTTTTTCTGTAGACTGTGGACAGGGCCATAGTGATTATGGCTGTTCAGATAGATTCACAGAGTGCCATTTGACATCCATTGAGTATTCACTATGTTCCAGGCATTGATCAAGACCCCATGAATCTCTATTTCACATTCAAACTGGATTGCCACTACTGCCACTTGATCTCTTTGCAGACAGTAGCAGTGTTCAAAGGCTGACAAGGGTGACCTCTACAAAACAGAACTTGTCATCATTATAACAAAGATAAATAAGGCAGCATTACTAAATGATATGGAGTTGTGGAATTAGGAATAGTTTTTATGTATACTATAGAAGGCTTTTTCCTGTGATGCTTATGTGGTTGTTAGGATTTACATATGGAATGCAAAATGAAAATATAAACAGTTCAATAAGTAAAAAGGAAATTATCTTCATTAATTATAAAATACTGTTTAAAAATAGTTGCATCAACATCCTTTAAAATGTTAGGTTGGAACGCTGCTGTGTGTGTATATAAAATAATAGTAGAATAGTTATTTTATTCAAATTTACTTAATTTTTCTGTAATAAAAGTTTTGTATTTTATTGGAAGAATGTTTTCTTACTACTTATGCATTTGTGTTTAGGGCCCTTAACAAAAGAAAACATTTTTATATTATAAGATGAATACTTTGTGTGTTTTTTTTAGGAAGCCAAGTTGTCTGAAACAGTTTCAGCTTCCAATGCCTGGAAAAGTCGTTATGAGAAAATTGTAATTGAAAAAACTGAATTGGAAGTTCAGATCGAAACAATGAAAAAGTAAGAAAGAATTTAAAATCTTTTCACTGTTTAGAAGGGCATACTTTTAGTTCTTTCACTAGTTTGTATTTTGGGTTTTCTGGATTTCATGTGGTAAAGATGCAATCTATATGCATCTAATCTATGTTTTTCTATTTATAATTTTGTATATTTTTCTTTATTGTAAAAAAAATTAAAAATGATTACTCATTAAAAGTGCATTGGCTTTCCCATTTAGAAAATTTGAACTTGTAGTTAAGTATTTTGTGTTTGAGTATGTGTCATCTATATTTGTATTGACTGTTAATACCTTGTCTTAAATGGAAGTGATATTTCTCAATTAAATAAGAACATGCAACATAATGCATAAATGCTTTGAAAATCCTAAACATAATTATCCATTAATATGTGTAATAAAGAAAATAATTAAATAAAAATACATATTATGCTTTGAAGCTTACTACTGATGAACCAACAATAATAGGCCCTTAATATTTGTTTTTAAATGTTTTATTTTCTATACATTACATTCAGTTTCATCATTGAAAGCTAAAATACATAATTTGCTTCTAAAGATTAGTTTTCATTGCCTTACTTGATCCTTTTTGTTAAACTTGTCCCTAAATTTGTGTGTATGTATGTGCTTGTGTGTGAGTGAGAGACAGACAGACATGCATATGTCTGTGTATGACAGCTTAGCTATTTCATTGAAGAGGTTCTTTGGCATCATCATGTCTCTAATCAAGGTTACTCTGATGATAACCTTTAAAGGTTACTTCTTCCAGTTTCCTTTGCTTTAGGAGTACTATTCACTTTTTGTAATTCCCTATTTGAAACAATGCATCCTACTGCAGTGATTTCAGAAACACTTAAAATGTGTTATTTGAATTAAAATTTCCATAACTTTTATAAAATGCTTCATTTTATAAAGGCAAATCACTGATCTTTTGGAAGACCTGAAGAGAATGGAAACTCATGGAAAAAATTCATGTGAAGGAATTCTTAGAAAACTTCATTCACTTGAATATGAAAGTGAAACTCTGACTCTTGAGAATACAAAATTAAAGGTACAGTATGTGTGTGTGTGTGTGTGTTGTGTGATGACAACTTAACACAATGTAGTAGAAGCTACTTCAAGTATAAGTAGCTTAAAGAAACAGCATGTAGGGAGTGCTCTATCATTTTGTCCTTTATGTTTCTCAGGATATTATAGTATTATTAGAATAGGTAACTTCTAAATCAATCTAATTTATTTGTATATACATATATACACACATTTGTTTGTACATATGTAAAATTTAATGTTTATAGCTATATACACAGATGAATGTTTAAACTGTATTTAGCAGTATAAAGTAAGACTTAAGAGGTTGAATAACTCTCAACTTAAAAAAAATTATTTACTCTCTAATTTTAGCAGTTAAGTAAATCATCCAAAATTACATTAACTTTAATGCGTAAAACTATTTCTAGGTGTCATAGTTACCATAGGATATAACCTCAGGCCTGGTCTGTTTGAAACCAGAAAGTATGTTCTTGGCTGCTTTATAACCAGAAAGAATTTTCCAACTGAGTCAAATCCAAGGCGTGATTGGTCTGTATGTGTACCAGAGAAGAGATGGGAAAGCAGTTTTTAGACTGAGAAAAAAAGTTACTTGAGTTTTCAGTCAACCAGAGATAAGTGTAGCCAGATGAGACTTGACTGAAGGTGATGGCACCATTTTCAGTTTCATCATACTCCCTTTGCAGGACAGAAAACAGAAGACAGAAAAGGATCATTTTGAATCATGAAATAGTTTGAGTGCACAGGATAAATGACGAAATGTTGGTATAATATCAGTAACAGAGTACATTTTAGAGAAACTTGTAAACTTGTTTTTCTGTTTATAAATGTTTAATTTTTACCACAACCTTTAGTATTACTTAAAAGATTTGCATTTATTCTGTGTATTAAGATTTCTGTATTGTAGTTTGCATGGTGTTTGAGAGAAAAGATCTTTAGTGTTAAAAGAGAAGTGATAAGATCTTACCTTATTATATTTTTAAAGAATTAAGTATTTTTTGTTTGTTTTTGTCTTAGAAATGTACTCATTTCCTTTTCTTGGAAAAATTATAATTAGTTGTTTAAAATTATGTGAACATGTGAAAATTGCAGTAGTGGTTTTTTTTTTGAATTTGTGTCTAAGGAAAAATATAGAAGAATTAAAGGTTATTACAACAGAAAATGATTTTAACAAAATGATGGTATTCCAGGCTTTAAATTTCATAATTGTTATTTTAAAGACATTATTCCCAGAAGGAAAGTGATGATACATCCAAATCTCTTCTACTTTTTATAAATCTTTCTTTCTCTGTATTTCTAAAACATCATGTACCAGAGAGAGAATTTTATCTACTATAGGTTGTGGCATATTTTCTCAGTGGCCATGCTGTTTTCTAAGTACTGATATGTCTTTGTGGGAGCTATATAGTGGTACCCAGTTAGTGTACAGTAATTCTGTCATACTGTGTATGACAAAAAGGCAGCAGATTGCCCAGGCCAGAACAATCCTTTCTGTGTGGTAAACATAATTTTTTGTGCATTAGCTGATAATTATATTTCTGCCTTTTTGAATTACATAGTCATTGACCTTTATATCTGTGTTTTGATTAGAATGCCCTATATATTAAGGGAATTAGCCTTACTTTTTTTTTTTTTTAAGACTGGGGTTTTAATTGAGGGCTTCAGGCTTTCAAAGCAGGTGCTCTGCTGCTTGAGCCACTTCTCTAGTCCATTTTGCTCTGGTTACTTTGGAGATGGGGTCACATGAACTATTTTCCTGGCTGGCCTCGAACTGTGATCCTCCTGACAAGTAGCTAGTATTACAGGATGAGCTACTGGCACCTGGCTAAAGGGATTAATCTTGTATTTGTCATATATGTCAAATGACAGGTGACATATAACAAATATGTCATAAGTTGTTAATATTTTACATATTTTGTTTGCTTTGTAAACTTTGGGAGAGCTATGAAATTTTGATTATACATTGAATATATACACTTATATTTTGAAAAAAATGTATGTATAGTTGGGAATCTCACAGTTCTATATATTTTACAAGTAGAGGCACTGACCTCCTGTGATCCAGACTGTCTTTCAAAGATAGTTGTTTAATTAACATCCTTGGAAGGTAGCAGTGCTTGCCTTTGGAGCCAAGGGCAGGCATGCTTACTGCTGCTAATAAGAGATTTGAGTTTCCTAAACTCAGGTTGGCTCTCCTATAATGTGTTCCACTGCATGTGCAGTTGTTGTCTGGCCCTCTGTTGGAGATGGAACTCAGGGAGCTGATGCAGATGGTAACAGTCTTGCTACTCCGAATGCTGTGAGTGGTAAGGTGCTCAGTCTCCAACCTCCAGGGATCGGAGGTCTTCAGCTAGTGTCTAGGAAACTGTAGGCTAACCGGTAGGTTTGCAAGGAGGATAAAATCTCAGACCTTTATAATTCTCAGTGTCTTTTTTATGATTTTGTGCTCAGTTGGGTCTTTTCTACTATGAAATAAAATACAGTTTTACCTGTATCTTCTTTGAAAAAACAATTTTTTTTTTGTGGTAGTGGGGCTTGAAATCAGGGCCTACTCCTTGAGCCACTCCACCAGCTGTTTTTTGTGTTTGGTATTTTCAAGATAGGGTTTTGCAAACTATTTGCTCCAGCTAGCTTCGATCCATGATTCTCCTGATCTTTACCTCCTGAGTAGCTAGGATTATAGGCGTGAACCACTGGCACCTGGCATGAAATTTTAATATTTAATCTTTAATTCATTTGAGGATACTTTAATGTTGAGGAAAGTAATGGATCTCTTTTTCCTTATAGTTAAGTTCCTATCTTTTTACTGTTTGTTTTTTGACCTGTTTCCCTATTGATATAAAAATCCAACTTTTATCATGTGCCGAGTATAACTTTGTGTATTTTTCTTTTTCACTCTTACACTTTTTAATATCTAATAAGTACTGAAATTGTCCACTTAGTAGTACTTTCAAAATTGTATTGGTCTTTCCTAATTTACTCTTCCATGAGTGTTTTTTTTTTTTTTTTCTTGGCAGTACTGGGGTTTGAACTCAGGGCCTCATGTTTAATAGGCAAGTGCTGTACCACATGAGCTACTTCTTCCATATGAGTTTTATATTAAGTTTGTCACCCCCTCCAACTGTTAACTTTTGGTTGAAATTGTAAAGTATTAAGTTAATTAGAAAAACTTATATGTCAACATTATTGATTCTTCCTACCCAGGAACACAGTCTATTATCCAAATCTTTTATTTGTCAGTGAATTATAAAAGCTTTAAAATATGTCCTGTATAAATTTCTAAGTATTAATCACTAAATTTTCAAAATTTCTTAATTTCAGGTGGTAGTTGTATGCAATCAAAATATTTTTTAACTATGTTGTACATTTTTATAAAACTGTAGCATTAGAATATCATTATAATGACTTAAATATCTATTTCATATTCCTTTGTAGACTACACTTGCTACTTTGGAGGATGAAGTTGTTTGTGTTGAAAATGAGCTCTTAGAATTGCAAGAAGTAGAAAAACAACAGAAAACCCTTTTAGAAGTATATAAAACTCAGGTGACCACTGCATCTGTTTTAATGTTTGTTAAAATTTGTAGGTAATTTAAAATACTATGTTTGTGGTCTAAATAAATGGAGCTGAGGACATGGGACTATTTTTTTGTGATACAATACAATATGTACCAAATGTTCCTTAAGGTCAACTGCATTCGCAAACAGGTAATTCTGCCAACTCCTGATTCTAACACTGCTTATGGATATTGGATATTTCTTAAAGTAGCTTGAAAATTAATTGCATAGGTATAAATACAAATTTTAATGTATAAAGTTGTTAATTTTACTTATGTGTTTGTCAGTCAGTACATTTAATGACGCTGATGTAGAATAATGACTGCCTTCTAGGGTCATTAAAGCCCAGTCCTCCCCTTTTCCTAATAAGTTAAGTATAATTCAGATTTATTCACATGAAAGCCCTAGAAAAGAACATGTGAACAGTATATATCTGAAATACAGCATTCACTGGTAACTTATAGAAAAACCTGTATGTTTTACATATGTCATATTTAAGAAAAACATCATGGAAAAGATGGGACTAACGCAGGTACTTACATGATAGACCACATGCTAGTCATAAAGATCTGAATTTTATGGAAGAGAGTTTGAATTAAAGAATAATGGTTGGCTGAGGTTGTAGCTCCGTCTTAGATTGCTTGCTTCACATGCATGAGGCCTTGGGTTTGGTCCTCTGCAGTGCCAAAAATGAGAGAGAGAGAGAGAGAGAGAGAGAGAGAGAGAGAGAGAGAGAGAGAAGGGAGGAAAAAGGGTGGGAGGGAGGAAAGGAGAGAGGGTTGATTAAAGCACAACATTGAGTGAGTCTATATTTAAATAGGGAATATTAGGTAAATATCCTGATAGTGTTAATAGGGAGATACTGATTTATTAAAATGTAAACTCAGATTTTAGCTTTGATTTCATAGGATATGTCTAATAATAAAATAGTACATGGTCTCTAATAATGTATTTTATTTTCAGGTACAAAAGTTGCAAGAAGCAGCTAAAATGATAAAAAGCAGATTAAAAAATTTGCTACATGAAAATAACCTAATAACAAAAACCAAAAATGAAAAATTTGAGAAGGTAAGTTTGACATTTCAAATAATAAAATAATGTTTTATTTATGTGTGTATTTTTACTTTATGAATATTATACAAATTCTTTCATTTTAGTCATTTTCCCTAGCCTGTTCTTAACCTCTGTAGGAGTTTTTTCTTCCTGAAGAAATAATGTTTCTTCCAGGCTTGAAATGTTATTTGTGTGAATGAATGTTTTTTCACTTTTTCCTTAGTATTTGAGATATAACAGAAATGTTGAATTTTGCAGATTTAAGCTAAAGAAACAGTTATTTTTCACTGAGATTTAGCAGCCATAAAATGTTTACTCTTACCTTTTTTTTCTTGTTATATGTCTTTTGTGTCTAAAAAAATTGCAAAGTAAATATTCTCTGCTAAGTGCATTTTTGAAGGAAAATAATATTTAAAAAAAATCATTTCCTTTTGTTCACCCTATTGCAATAGAATGAGGAGAAGGCCGGTGTTGGCAAATGATGATGTTTTTGTGACTATTTCTAAGTTCTAAATGAAAAACTGCATTCCTTTTTGGATTTTGTGTTGTTTTGGTAAGGAAATCATTGGATGCTGACTCCTGACTGGAGAGGTCATGGCATGTTAGTGGTCAGTTCCAACTGAGCTAAGTAAGGTTACTACCTCTGGGTTGCTCCCGTATCTTGGGATTGGATGTCAGTGAGACATCTCTGTGGAGAGAAGGTCGTTCAGAGTAGACATATTTCCAGTGATACAGAGATAGTGAATAATAGCTCATCAAATGTGCAGCTTACTGCTTTTTATTTTTTAAATTTTTTAATTTTTTTATTATTCATATGTGCATACAATGCTTGGGTCATTTCTCCCCCCAATCCCCACCCCCTCCCTTGCCACCCCCCCTGCCCCCTCAGTACCCAGAAGAAATTATTTTGCCCTTATCTCTAATTTTGTTGTAGAGAGAGTATAAGCAATAATAGGAAGGAACAAGGGTTTTTGCTAGTTGAGATAAGGATAGCTATACAGGGAGTTGACTCACATTAATTTCCTGTGCATGTGTGTTACCTTCTAGGTTAATTCTTCTTGATCTAACCTTTTCTCTAGTTCCTGGTCCCTTTCTCCTTTTGGCCTCAGTTGCTTTTAAGGTGTCTGCTTTAGTTTCTCTGCGTTGAGGGCAACAAATGCTATCTATTTTTTTAGGTGTCTTACCTATCCTCATATCTTCCTTGTGTGCGCTCTCTTTAATCTTGTGATCAAAGTCCATTTACCTTGTTGTGTTTGCCCTTGACCTAATGTCTGCATATGAGGGAGAACATACGATTTTTGGTCTTTTGGGCCAGGCTAACCTCACTCAGAATGATGTTCTCCAATTCCATCCATTTACCAGCAAATGATAACATTTTATTCTTCTTCATGGCTACATAAAATTCCATTGTGTATAGATACCAAATTTTCTTGATCCATTCATCAGTAGTGGGGCATCTTGGCTGTTTCCATAACTTGGCTATTGTGAATAGTGCCGCAATAAACATGGGTGTGCAGGTGCCTCTGGAGTAACCTGTGTCACAGTCTTTTGGGTATATCCCCAAGAGTGGTATTGCTGGATCAAATGGTAGATCAATGTTTAGCTTTTTAAGTAGCCTCCAAATTTTTTTCAGAGTGGTTGTACTAGTTTACATTCCCACCAACAGTGTAAGCTTACTGCTTTTTAAAAATTACTTTGCACCTATTTTTGGCAAACCAGAGTAGATACCATTTCATGTCTTTTGGTCTCTTTTTCTCATCAGGTATTCCAATGCAAACACCTCTCTCTCTCCTCTTTTGCTTGGCAGCACTGTACATAGAAGCCTATTTTAGTAAAAGACAGAAGCCTACTTTAAAAACCTGTTCAAAAGGCAGGAAGGGCAGGAGCCTGTGTTTTCCAGCTATTGTAAGGTCACAATGTTTTCTTACTGGTCTGTAATCAGAAAGAAAATTATTCTTTTTAGTGAAATTCTTCTTTTCCTTTTCTACTGCTTAAGTCTCCTGGTGTTCTTATGGGCTCTGAGCTGTTTTGGGACACAAATATGCTTCATTCTCATTTTATCTTTTGTCATCAAGATTGCCAGATGTTGCACAGAGACTATAGATGTTCCTTGCCTCCGGGAAAGTATCACTCTTGTTTTTCCTCCTAAATGCCACGTCTGGCTATTTTTTTAATTGACAGTATAAGATTTTTTATGGTTGCTTCATGTCACATATCCACAAAAGTGCTACAGTGAGGAACTGCAGGATGTAAGAAGATTAATATAGATAAAATTAGAGAGATTTATTCATTACAGGAATGTGAGAACTGATAATATTGGCTGTATTGAAATAATATACAGTAAACCCCACTGATTTTGACCAAGATGAGTGAAGCAGGGATCTTAGTTAAATATCTGAGTTACAATATTGAATGACACTTACTTTAGAGCTGATGCTGGGCAGTAGAAAAGTAGCATACCAGTTTTATTACTAATAATATCTGCTTGCACATAATTACAAAGTTTGTGTTCCTAAGTAGTTTTTGGACATCCACCCTGCAAGCTAATATTACCACATGATCAGCTGAAGGAACTTTTTGAAAACTAATTAAGGCCCAACCCACTCTTTGTCGTGTGTTCTTTATGTAGCAGAATCTAAATTAATATTCATTCACATTTATTTGGCTAAGTATTGTTGTTTAAAACCACTTAACGTTACTATACAAGAAACTTACTTAGTGTTTAAGATGGTAAGAATATTCATGCTGAATGTATGACCTTGCCTTATTTCCCCTAATCTCACAACTCAGATGAGAGGCCAGATGGAGTCTCATCTAAAGGAGGTAGAACGGGCCCGCGATTCCTTGACGGTAGCTGAAAGGAGGCTCCAGGAGTGTCAGGAGAGTCTGCAGCGCTGCAAGGAGAAATGTGCAGAGCAGGCCCACACCATTAGGGAGCTTCAGGGCCAGGTGTCAGTGGTCGATTTGAGTTTTGCAAGACATGTGAAAGGAACGTTCGGAATTGTTTCACCAGTTGAGGGCACTCATGTCAGGGCTTGATTTTTTTATTCTCATCTGTATCCATTGATAAGACATCATTTTCATATAGATAGTGTAACATTATTTTGCAGACTGTTATTTTAGTATTTTATAGTGACAAATGCTAATTAAAATTGTTAATTTATGTTCAACATTGGAGGACGTAGTATACTAATGGCATGAGAGAAGGGGCAAATCTATGCTTACATATATATTTCTTAATGTCAGGATGAGGTAAATTACTATAATTAGTGTATTAAAATGCTTTAGAATTTTCATAAGGTAAATTATTATAACTTACCTTGCAAACATTAGACTGTATTTTAATTAGAATTGTACATCAAGTTTATTGGGATTATTTTCAATCTTTTTTACAATATGTACTTTTTTAATCCATCAGAATAGGGATCAGGTGTGTCCTGTTAATCACCACACAACTATCTCTAGCTCAATGCCTATGACATAGGAAGCACTCAAAAAATATTTTGTTATTTTTCAAAGAAGCATGTCCAAGGAGGGTGGCGAGTCTTTTTCTTCACTTGCAAGACATTTTTAGTAAGAATTCACTTTCTGTCTTCCAAATATAGTCTGAATTTTCATTTTGAAATGTATCCTGTTTTTAAAAAACACGCAGGCAACATTTTGGTGTATTTAAATTCCTGAGGAGATTTTTTTCTAGGAAATTGTCAGATTATATACTTTCAGCCTAAATTTCTAGTTGAAATTATGAGAATTTTTATTATGATTAAAGCATCTTAAGCTATTTAAATCAGCCTTTGAGGAATGGGAAGAGCATTTTGTCTTGACATAGGCAAGTATATCTTTATTTAATTTGTTTCTTTTATTTTGCTTCTCACAAGAACATGGTTTTTACTAGAGTTACAGTTTCACTGATTATCAATTACCAATCCATACATATGTAGTATTGAGGCTTGAACTCAGGGCCTTGTGTTCTGTAGGCAGGCATTCTACTACTCGAGCCGTGGCCCTAGCTTTACTGATTTTAGATAGGGCTTTGAACTTTTTGCCCAGGGTGGCCTTGACCAAGATCCTCCTACCTATAATTCTCAAGAAGCTGGAATTACAGACACATGCTAACATGGTCAGTTTCTTCTTTGAGATAGGTTCTGACCAGCTTTTTTGCCTGGGCTGTCCTTGAACCACAGCCTTCCTATCTCTGCCTCTCAAGTACAGGTGTGAACCACTGTACCCAGCCTTAATCAGTATTATTTAGTTGAAACACAAAACTATAAGAGAAACCCTAAGTATTTAACAATAGACTGATACTGTTTATTTTTTCATATTATAACTTAATAAGTATCTTTTTCCAATAAAGTATTTTTTAAAATGTTTTAATTGCCATCACCCAGAAAAAACTTTCAGTTGGTGATTTTCTAACAAAGACAAAATAATTTTTTAAAACTTAACCAGAAATTTAAGAACTTGTACTTTAACAATGTAATAATTATTGGTATCTTTCTGTATAGAAATAATAATGATGGCATTCATATCTTCTTGTTTCTTGTGGTTGTTCTAACAATACAAAATATAGTTTTTTTTTGGAAATTGGTTATAAGGAAAATAACCAAGAAAACATTTTTTTTAGATTAATGGAAATCACAGTCTTCTGACAAAGCTTTCTCTTGAGGAGGAAAATTATCTTATTCAGTTAAAGTGTGAAAACCTTAAACAGTAAGTATTAAATTGACTTAAAATTGGTGTTATATTTTTCCCTATACACTGTAGTTTTAAAATATATATTTGCTATAAAAAGAAAATTAGAACAGATGGATGCAGAGAATAAGGAGCTTGAAAAGAAGCTGGCAGACCAAGAAGAATGTCTTAAGCATGGCAATCTGAAGCTTAAAGAGAAGTCAGAAGAATACACTGCTCTGGCCAGGCAGCTGGAAGCTGCGTTAGAAGAAGGAAGACAAAAGGTACCAATGGCCCTTAGAAACTTTTTAATTAGTTTGCCAAAGGTTGTCTATTTAAACAGCTAGTAGCTTATGTTTCCAAACCTACAGTTACTGTTTTGATCCTGATGACAGGGTAAGGGGAGCAGTTCCATTTTTGTTCTTTGTCTAATTTTCCCTTGAAGCAAAACAGATATATTATTGGGCCAGAGTTACTTTACCAGATAAATGGTGATGTGGCAGGGTAGCAGGCATAAATGGAAAACAGTTTGAAGGTGCCCCCACCCTTTTTAAATATAAAACCAAGTTGAATGTGCAAATAATTAAGAATTTTGGTTTCAATCAGGGACCAGTGAGCTGCAAAGCTCAAGGCCTTCCTGATGAATATTTGTCACATCAATAAATACACAAATACATGCAAGAATTAAATTAGGGTAGTATTCAGCCTAACCTAATGCCTCTTGATGTGTCAGGCACTATGCTAATGCTTAAGAGGCAAAGACAAAAAGGTCTGGCTTTAGTTCTCAGGATGCTATTGGTGTAGTAGAAAATAACATGAGAATAAACAAAATGTCATCCCATTTGTAGGGTAGATTCAATGGGTGCCAGAAGGGGTGTTTATCCCAATCTAGAGCAAAGGAGAAATGAATGAGGAAGATCTCAAAAAAGAGGTAAATTTACCAAATAAATAAAAAATCTAATCTTGAGCTTTAGAGTCCAACAGAAACTAGATTTAAATTATGTCTCTGACACACTGAAGTAACTTGTCATTCCTTAAAATGGAGGTGATGAATTTCTTCATAAGATGAGTGATGCTAAGAGGTGATCATCTCTACCCTAATGGCTCTCACACCTGTTTCCCCACCCTGAAATCCAAACTCAGACATTCTACTTCTACCTTAGCATTTCCATTTAACATAGGTGTCTTGAACTTAACATGTCTAAAACCAACTCTGAATCTTTCCCTCCAAACTCTCTTCTACTCATTGTCTTCCTTGCACTCATTAATGTCAGTTCCATAAAAGATAGAATCTGATATCCGTGAAATGTGGCTCTTCTATCACAAGTATCACATATATGTTTTGTTTTGTTTTTAAACTCTGGGAAAACAGTTTAAATTTAAGAGGCATAACATTGAATAAAACCTAAATAACAAAGTGTATCTTCAGTTGAAGAAACTTAGTATGTATTTTTCAGCCCCACCAACCTTTGGTAGGAAAATGAAGAGGTGAGTTTATCTTGGGTTCAGCTCAAGAAAATGCAAGGTGTTCTCAGATTCCTTTCCCAATCTGGGGACTCTGGTTTGAGTCCCCAGAGGTGTGTCTGCCCCTCTTTTCTCTTCTACTTCAGTGGATTGTGGGGGTGGCTCTAGTTTTTGCCCACATGAAGAAAAACATCATTACCCTGCCACAATTGCCCATACTAAGGGGACAGTGCCCAAGACATGACTGTTTGTCCTGAGAACCCTTGCCCCTACATCTCAGATCCTGTTAGCATCCCTTACCTACAGTCACTTTGGGCCTTGTGCAGAAGAAATCCTTGTAAATAATTTTATAGTAACTTAGAACTGAATCCTTAGGAGTTAGATTAGAAGATAGTCTGTCCCTTGCTCCTGGACCAATCCCTGCCTCTACTAATCCTTGTGGCTTCAACTCAACATTTTTACAGATGGGCTCCCACATATCTGAATCTTTGATGAAAATAGCTAAGCTAGACTTTCTGTTAAAATAAGCAGTCAAAAAATATGCAAAATATTCAGGTCACATTGGAAGTGAATGAATGAAAAGCCTATTGTTTGTATGTGTGTGTGTGTGCATGCACACACACAGTATGTACAGTGTGTACATCAGTCTGCTCCATTCTATTCATCCAAATGTAGAATGAGCATTTAATGAGAACTTTCTGTGTTCCACCACTGCTTTAGATACCATGTTGAATGCAACTGGTAGTAAAAAATGACAATTGGTCTTGGTGTGTTTTAAAATATGCTGTTGAGGGAAAATACCTACCTAATCACAAAGCAGTGAAAATGTATACACCTCTTTCATCTCAAGCTAATTTTGCAGACACTTAGGCTACAAAAATAAGTATACATACTTACATGTGCTTCTTCAATATAGAATCTGCTTTAAGCATTTTCTAATTAAATTGTCTAATACCCAATTAATATCTGTTTGGAAAAAACTACACTATAACCATATCAAGGCTTTAAATTATATTTTAAAGAAAGCACATTTATTTTAGTCTCTTAATAAAAATTACAGGTTTCTGAAGAAATAGAGAAAATGTCATCTAGAGAGAGGGTTTTACAAATTAAAATACTAGACCTGGAAACTGAGCTTAGAAAGAAAAGTGAAGAACAAAACCAACTTATTTGCAAAATGAACAGTGTAAGTATTAGCATGACTTAATGTATTATCATAAAAAATATATTTGCATTTAACATTCATGCAATGTAGTTTAAATAGTTAAAGTGCAAATTGAGAGGAATTAAGGCTATTGGTTTACTAATAATATTAAAAATAAATAATACAAAGAAAAATTAAAATGGCAGAATCATACCAAAGAATTCATTATTCTGTCTTCCTGGTAGCATCTATTGTGTTGCCCTAAGTCTTATCAGGCCCTTTCCCTGCATATTACTTTGTATAAAAGCTGCTTAATGAAAGTTATAGATGTAACCTACTTATTTTCTTCATGGTATGAATTTTTCATTTTTTTAAAGATATATGCAATTTAAGCAATTATGATTTAGATTGTTATATCTGTCTTGAATAGTGGATATTATATTTTAGAAAGATATAATTTGGTGTTGAGTAAATATTCAGTGTTGTCAAATCTGCATGAGAATGGATGCTTTGATCCACTTAGCTGTGAAATGAGAATACTAAATTGGTTGTGTTAATTAGTCCTCTTGTTTTTTTCCTGAATATTCATGAAATTGTCCATTCGCATAAGATACTCTTGAAGCTAGCATTAGTTGTGATTAAATTACATAATAACTATCTACTTGATGAAGACATAGAGAATAATGATAATTTCTTTTTCCAGGAGCTGGAGAATATATGAAAGCTAGGTTTTCATTCTCAAGTGTTTAAAAATTAAGAACCAAAAAGGTGCTATGGTTAAATGATTTTGTCATACGCTGTTTCATGAGAATTTAATGATAATAAAGCATTTATCACTTTTAATGCACAGCCCTTCTCCTTATTTCTACACTTTTTAAACTCACCATTAGAGTGCTAATATTGTAAAATACGTGCAATGTTCTTTGTGCAATTGGAACCTCTGAAAAAATTAAGAAAACCAAAATGAGATGGGTTTTGCTATGATGTTCCTAGTACTTAGCTAAGGCTATTAAATTAAATAGGTTTAAGATCTGACGTTAAAACTGCCAATTTTTGTACTATCAAAAATCTAAGCATAGCTTTAGAAATATCTGAAAAATGAGTTTATGTGTTCTGTGACTGTTTAGTGAGCAGTTAAGTATTTTATGTACATGTTCTATCTGAATTGTGAGCACCAAGGGAACCTGTCTCATAGTTGACTTTGTTCCCAGCGTCTTCCACAGTGCACTGCCCACCCTGCTGGCCTGTTCATAGTTCTGGTCTGGATACCTCAAGCTTAACCCATGGCAACCCTTCTGAAGCCCAGTGTGTCTTGGAAGTTTTATATATTATCCTGAAATCCATTCACATTTTACACTTTACCTACAATATGTTTGTTACTATTTTTTTCTTCAAACTGTTGAGCAAAATTGGTGCTCCATAAAAGTTCACAGTATTCATTCTGTGGATTTATGCAATCCTGTTTAGCACATTCTGGCCTCATAACAATTCCCCAGCTCCCCCCGCACTCCTCAAGCCATGTCATCCTGCAGGGCACTACTCATTTTCAAAAGAAAGCAGGTATTGAACACGTGCTATATGAAAAGATCTTTCTTCTCAAAGTGCCTGCCTTTTAGTTGGAAGCTAGATGGTATTTGTAACTTGTCTTTAAAGCATTTGCACTGAACCAATGTACTTAGGAATTGGAATATAACTAAAGTTTAAAAAAGTGTGGAATTTTAAAACTTTTTTCTCAAAGAAATAGTAAGAGTTCTTAATATTTTTCATAATAGTATGAGTTCTTTCTATTTTTTTAAACCATTCTAAGTAAAAACATGTTCATATTTTTAAAATGAGAATTGTATCAATTTTCAAGATAGCAAATGTCATTCTTATGGGATAGAATGTGAAGTTTTAGGCAGAGAAAATGGCAAAAATAGTATGGAAATATGTCATGTTAGATGTAATGGAAATTCGTTATGACAGTTTTAAATACAACTGACTTATTAAGTTAATCATGTTAAATATGTAATAATTTGGAGCTAAGTAAATATGTGTTATAATAAACTATATCAGAGTAGATAGCCATATTTGTGCTTTAATTATTAATTTTAAAAAAGGTAAGTGAAATTTAAGATAAGTTAATAATGGACACATCACATATGAGATTCTTTTGAAAAATTTTTTTAAATTCTTTTTTTCTGGTGTTCTTGTTTTTTGCATTTTTATTAACATATACTAGCTGTACAGGGGGCTTCATTGTAATATTTACATATGTACTTATAATGTATCTTAATTAGATTTACCCCTCCATCATTCTCCCTCATCCTCCCTCCCCAATCTTAGATTAACAGGTTTCATTGTTCTGTTTTCACACACATATGCACAGTTCCTCAACCACATTCACCCTCCTTTACCCTCTCTGTTTACCCTCCCTCCTTCCTACTGATACCTGATTTACTATCATGTCCTTCATTTTTTTAGTGTATATTGTTTTTTTTAATGTATACTGTTTGTTCAAGAGGGTTTTGCCTTGGTATTTCGCACATGTGTATATCATACTAATCAGATTAACCCCGCTACTACTTTTCCTTTATTGCCCTGCTGCCCCGTTATTCAACAGCTTTCAGTGCATTTCGCTATGCAGTGTATTTCAATATTATTCTCTCTATCATTCTCTTTTCCTCTCCTGCCTCTTTGTAGTCCCCTCAGACCTACTATTATAATCGTGCTCTCCCTCTCCACTCTATGTATGTATATGTGTATGTATATATATATATGTATGATCATATATATATTATGTGTACATTTATCTTTGAAGTCTACCTTCCACATATGAGGGAAAAATATGTGGAAAAAATTCTTTTAAAAATAGTGTATTCACATTTTATAACTTATTCTTTGATATGAATGTCATTATTGATTGTCTACATTTCTTTTTTGTTTAGAAAGCACAACATCAGGAAGTATGCTTGAAAGAAATACAACATAATCTTGAGAAGTCAGAGAATCAAAATGAGAGCATAAAGAATTATTTACAGTTTCTTAAAGCTTCTTATATAACAATGTTTGGATAAACTGCTGAATTTATTTTCTATACTACTGGTTGTTTTACATTATAATTTATAAGTGGTAGTGTTAGAGTTTCTATGTGAAAATGTAATTTATTATCTAATCAATATTTTGAAACATGATAGCTGTTAGTAGTCTTTTTTGCTAAATCTCATTTAACTCTGGTTTAATTCCTTTTTAAAATATATCGGGTTTTAGAATATTTTTCTTATACAAGTCAGAATCATTCTTTGTGATGTCTGTACCCACCATTCGAATGAATTTGTAATAAATCTAGGCCAATTACAAGGCAAATACATGATTTAAAATAATGTATGTAGATGTTTTATATTGTGGTGCTATATAAACACAATAAAAGAAAATATGCTGAATTTTAATTTTTAATCATGATATCATATAATTTTTAAAGATAACAAATATCTCAACTTACTCAATATTGCTTCAAGTATATGCTGAATTGCCATTATAATTGTGATAGGGATTTTTGAAATAGAGTTTCACAAACTATTTGCCTGCGCTGGCTTCTAACTGTGATCCTCCTGTTCTCTGCCTCTTGAGTAGCTAGGATTACAGGCATGAGCCACCAGCACCCGGCTCTATTAGATTTTTTAAATATAAAATACTTAGTCATAGCTATTTAATGTCAGTTGATGGTGACAAATGAAAACATGTTGGTATGCTTTGTTTCTTTATAAAGAATCAGCATTCAGGCTGTCCTGGGTGTTCATAGCCTCTTTGTTCATTTTGTATTTGTTATTATCTGATATTGTTATAGGCATCATAAAGCCCCTGAGTTAACTAAAGGATTAAAGGAGAACAATTTTTCCTATCCTTCCCATAGCCAGTTCAGTTCACAAGGGATGATCAAAATGAGCACTCTTAATACTAAGAAGCTTTAGGATGGGGTCTTTAGTATTGGGATGAAGTAGAAGAGAGACCAAGAACTTGTTCCTTATAATCTCCCGCCCCGTGTGCCAAGTCAGGATGCTCTGAAACAGGATGAATGTGGCTCACAACAGGTCAAGTGACAGTGACTCCTCTTGGCAGTGACTTGAGAGCTCTTTATTCTAAGGAACACTCTTGTCTTAAAAGATCAAAGATGCAGGTTGTATACTCCACAGTCAGCCTCTTAACAGAGCTGTCCCTCCAAGGATGGACATTTGGGAAGAATGGCTTGCTCTCCATCATTTCATGACTCCTAAGATTGTCATTTCATCCATAGGGGTTCCTTTCCTCATGACCCAGCTGCTTCATAATATTTTTCTTATAATAGAAAAATGTAGAATGTCAGAAACTAGTCACAATTTTTTTGCCTAACAATTGCAACAGATTAAATATTGTCCCTTTTTTTTTGTTCTTAGTTGCAATGTTGTAATCTCAGTACTTGTACTAAAAGATATACTTGACTCTTGAGGCACTTTGCTCATTCTCCTAAGGTGGAGGGAGCCTTAAGAAATGCCCATGTGATGGCAAACAGACTCTTGAATATTCAGCAGACTGTGGTATGTAGTTCAAGGAGAGAACTGTATCTTACTCATACTTGTCTCAGCTCCTGCATAATACTGATATGTAGTAGTCAGTTGATATTTGTGGTTAGATAGGTGGGTAGGAGGTATTCATATTCTTGTTTTAGATGTGAAAAAGGTAAGCATAGAGGGACTAACCTCCATGGCTTCAGAATGAAACTATATATTTATATATAAATATAATTTATGTATGTGGTTCTAGGGTTTGAACTTGGTGCCTTGTGCTTAGAAATTTAAGTTTTTAAGTTGGTATTTGAACTCAAGTCTTATGATTCCAAAATTAAAGTTCTGTACAGCAATAGTGGCAACAGCAGCATTGTTGTTATTTATTAAGCACTTGCTATGTGTCAAAGTTCTAAATGTGATACATGTATTAACTTTTTAGTGTTTAGGAAACTAAGGCACCTAAAGGTTAAGTAATTTGCCCCTGGTCACATACCTAGTAAGTGGGAGGCATACAGTTGT